ATGTGGTGGGGCCTTGGAGCTCACTGCAGGCCACTCCTTTGTGCTCATGGAAGAGAAGAAGTCACTTGCAGAAAGATCCTCCCTCATCCCCAAAACACATCTAATCCATTGCCCATTTCAAGGACCCAGGACCCCTGCATGCCACAGGAAGGGGGCTGAACTACCCCAGTGTGTAGGGCTCCACCAGCAGCCTTCTAAAATAACCCAAGCACAGAAGGCCTGGAATGTATCTGGGCTTATATTTGGAATTGCTGTTGGAAACAATCCTGGCCAAATGTAACACCCATCTGTTCAGGATGGTTTGGAGTAAGAAAATGAGGTGGTTCAGTAGGAGGGGGCTGGGCAGCTCTGAAATTCAGGACTGGGGAGTGTCAGGTCCCCTAGCTCTCACCCTGCCCCGGAACCCTCCTTTCCCTTCAGCCAAGGCTGTTCTAGTAACTGGGGTCACTTCCCTGACTTGAGAATTTTTTCCCTTTTACAAAACCAGTCTTTCAGATCATCTTTCTTCCTGAGCCTTCTACCCACTGGTCAGTACTTTGGGTGGGCCGAAGAGGTATGATTCCTGCTGAGTCTTTGCTAATCCAAGGACAAGCACATCTGCCTCCTCACCATTTGGCATCTAACACAGAAGGCTCATAGAAGTGGGTTGTGACTCACAGGAGTGGGTTGTGTGTTCACCTCAGTGCACTGCAGATGGGTGGAAATCCACAGTCTCAGGGGGGTGGGGGGGGGCTTTTGCCTGATCAGAACACTGGGCATGTCCTAGTTTTCCCCCTGAGATTACTTCTGAGGAACTGTGTGGAATTAGTAGACTTTCAATGATGTTATTTTAACATTTTTTATTTTATTGCAATACAAGTAGACATTAATAAGGAAAATATAATAATTACTCTTTTATGAAAAAATAAAATAAAATTTTATAACAAAATAATTAGGCAATAGCAATAGTCTTAAAAAAATGACCAAAATGTTACTCAGAGTATAAGTCATAGACAAAAAAACAAAACAAAACAAAACAAAATAAAAAAAACACTTCTCTTGCAAAGGAGAAACAAAGGACTGAATTTTCTTTTTAGTGAACAAAAAGAAACTACTAGTATAAATGAAACCAGTTAGCATATATCTTAAAATATATTGTTTCAAATATATTTGAAATATGCTGTTTCAAATATATTTTTGAAACAACAGAATAAATAATTTGGGGAATTACTTGAATTTCTCCCTACTTTATGGTTATCTTCTATTTTGCTCTTTATTATGAAATTATTTTGTATCTAAAATCAATCCAGGTTTCAGTACTTTTGTTCTGTTTATGAGCCAAGTGTTCAAAAGAAATGTTATACTATGAGGGGAAGAAATCTCAGTGTGATGGGTTTTTGAAAAGGAATTTATCTGTTAGAAATCTAGTTCCAGTGAATGGTTTGGATGGTTCTGTGAGTATCCTTAGTAACGACGCTGAGCTTGAGCCTTTTTTTTTTTTTTTTTTTTTGTGGTACCAGGGATCAAACTCATGACCTTGCACTTGCCAGGCAGGCATTTACGCCACTGAGTTAAATCCCCAGCCTAGGCTTGAGCTTGTTAAATGTAGACTTCATCAATAGTCTCAGAAGCATCAGTGAATTTCCATTGACATAGTTGGCTTGGGCCATACTGTTGCTAGGACTGAGAGGAAATACGTGAGCTGGGAGGGACATCTATCAGACACACTGTTGTGTGGGAACCCTCAGTTCATGTAGCTGAGCCACATGCCAGGGTCTGGGCAAATCCGACAGGCATTTATCAGTCAGCCTTTATGTCCTTTTATGAGTGGCCTACAGTGACAGCCATGTTTTAGTCTTGGTGCATGTTCTTTGAAGAAGAAAAGTAGCACAGCTGATGTTAGGGCACCAGCAATTGGTGAATAACACAGAGGACATTGTAGTGGACTGGTAACTGGTGGTCAACTTAAAACACAAGCTGAACTGATTCAGTGAGGGGCTGAGTGTGGCTGGCCCACCTGATGACTGTTGCCAGCATAAAAAAGACCTGCAGAGGAAGAGTAGCATTGTGGGTTCTCCTAAGTATTGTTGTTTGGAGTTATTGGTTCTCATGGAGTAGCTTGTCACACTGGCTCCCCTGCTGTGATCTTGGCTGTTATCATCAGAGGAGCTCAGGCCCTTGTTGCTGAGAATGGCTGCAGTTCACTTTGGGGACACTCTGCTCCTTACTTTGAGCATTGCTTCCTGGCTCTGGAGGGGATGATGTGCAGTGTTTAATCTCCAAGCGAAATTTGTCACACTGGCTTCTTGATATGTACTCAGCTGTTCTTGTCGTTGGAAGAGCTTGGAACCATATTGTCGCTGAGGACAGCTGTAGTACTTTTTGGAAGAGCCCTGATCCTTATTTTGAGTATCACTTCTTAGGTCCAGTACAGAATCCTCAAGCTGTTGGCACAAATCCTTCATCCCACTGGCATAGACTGTCAAGTTTCCACTGCTGACCTTTGGGCCTTCCCAGTGCAAATCTGTGAAATAGACTTGTGTGAGTCATTGTCGTGGGCTCTAGGTTTTTAGCTGAACTCATGCAGGTTATTGCCATGGAATCCAGGCCCTTGGCGGGATTTTCTAGGTCTTTAGTATTGTGGATGAATCTCATGCACTTCTTGTATTTAACTCATGTGACTTTTACAAAATAATACTATACATGCTGTGTCCTGTATGTAGTTGATCTCTTTGCAACCTGACTATGACAGATGTATTCTTGTGTATCCAATTTTGTCACTGGCTGGTTAGCACTTTAATGACTCATCTTAAGGCCAGTCCAAGACTGGCCAGAGTGAGATCAAAAAGACAATCTGTTTTGGCATACGTGTGGATTCAACCTGTGGACCCCTTCCAAAAGGTCTCAAAATGTCTAAGAAGTGACTTTTGTGGGCACAGGATGAAGTCTCTAGGATCTTGCAAGAAGGGACTCTACTGACATTTGCTCCAGAGGTAAGATCCTCTCTGGTCCCTAAGAAAGGACATATGAGGAGTTATGATGTAACTAGAAACAAGGGTGGTGGAGGAGAGACCCTGCTGTGCACCTAGTGAGGGGACCATGCCTTCGACAGAGAAATTTGTGGCTGAGTCCTAGGTGGAAACACCCTGCTGTGATTGTCAGGACAAATATACAACACCAGAGCTGTGGTGTGTAATGGGAATCACAGAATTGCCTTCACTTGGAAGAGGAAAACAGGCTGAAGATGTTAGGAAATATGGAACTGAGCAGAGAGCATGTCTACTCAGAGCCAGGCGGTGATAGCTGGCATCGGCCTGGCCTTGCCCTGGCAGGAAGTACAACCGGGGCTTGCAAAGTGGGTTAAAAGTGTTGGCAGAACTGTGCAGGTATGAGGAAGTATGTTAAGAAGAAAGGAGGAAGAAGTATCTGGAAGAAAACAACAAAGGGTATTCATGAAGCTAAAAACAGGAAACTTTTACCTACTCTGCAAGCAGAAGTGGAGGAGAAAAAGGGAAGAAACTCACAAATCAGAAGTTCTGTTGACAAAAAGTCACCCTCATATCTGCTAAAATGATAAAACAAGACATTATTCAGGGCTATTGTGCTAGGAATAGGAACTGCTGTGATGGGAGTAGAGGAGAGATTGCGCTCAACTCAAAACACATGAGAAGGATGGATTTTATATCTGAGATGCTGAGTGAGGAACTGGCGGGTAGATAACTACTGGGGGAAAACTTCTAGGAAAAGGGAGATTCTAGCTATGCCAGCCCTCTAGGATTCTGGCTGAAGAGATCTAGACATCTGGACTATGAGAACCAATCAGATCAGAGGGTAATCAGATCTAGGTAATGGAAATTCTGACTGAATCATCGTAGCAGTGTCTAAACCAATTTTCAGTGGATTTAGTTTTAGGATTGAATTGGCTTTTATGAGTGAGATTCATGAGCTGAGTAGCATTTTATTCTTATGACAGACATTCCGAAGAGCTGAGCAGTCTGGATAGACATTATTGGCAGAAGACTGTGTAAGAACTATAAGTAGAGAACAAAAAGTAGTTGTTTCAGCTGCTTTTGCTGTACGGGTTAAAGCAGCGGGGACTCATCATACTGGCACAGCATGACTGGGCCCCTTTTGACTGGTTGCTGCACCTTCCAGGTTATGGAAAACCAACTTTTCTAAATCCACTTTGATTATCAGGAGTCTAGGGGGAGTGCCTCAGTGCTGATTTGATCTGGGCTGTTGGCCCTGGTCTGAAAGCTTAGCCCCAAACACTGGTATCCCCTACATTTTCTTTAAGAGCAAGATTCTTGCTAAAATACGATGGTTCAAGGATAGACATGGATGGCCAAAGCCAAGTTTGGTCATAGAAAGATCATCAGCTTCTATGGGAAACTTGGCTACATGCACAAGAGTGATATTCATGTGCACATATCCAAGCCCATGGGGTAAACACAATTATCTGCAGGTGTTTGCAAGCATATGTGTGGGTGCTTTGACACTGGGCAACAAAACAGGTCCCCGAGGGTCTAATCAGACACATTTAATACTTTTGAAACATGTTAGGAATGTCTGTGGGAAGAGCCAGGAGTTTCACAAGAGATTGTAATACTACAAGAGTGGCAGACTGTCTGTGTTTGTTCCCTGCAAGAGGAGAGAGGAAGAGAAGATGTGTAAAATTTTCATGGCTGCTCTGCTGTTGTATGATTGTTGGAGTCTGATGTTGTAGAAACAGAGCCTTGATGGGAGGTAACTGCAAAGAATTAAATAAAGAAAAAACAAACTCACTGGCTGACTGTTGCTGGGAGCAGCGTAGACACATCTGAGTGGGAAGGCTTGGTGGTGTGTGAGGAGCGGCAGCAATCAGGGAAGTGGGGAGAGGCCTCGTCTGCAAGAGGAGAGAAATGGTTGTGTTTTAATGAGCAAAATGAGATAATGTAATTGCACATTGATTTTCATTGTCACCCAAAGGGCGAGATTTCACATTGGTACATAGTAAAATTATCCATTTATTTTATTCACAGGTTGTATTCAGACTATCTCTACTTTGCAAGTTCAAATAAATCCGCAGATGACTTCCATGAAAAAGTGACAGAAGCTCTGCAGCTGTTTGAAAATTGCATGCTCGATTATTCGCTGCGTGCCTGCGTCTACAACAACACCCTCAACAATGCCATGCCTGTACGTATTCACTGAGCGCCCTGCACAGAACAGGCTGCTTTGTGGTTATGCGAGGGGCATTGTGGCCCTGGGTTTAGCACAGAAGCACAGACAGCGGCATTTTAATGCGCAAATGCTACTCAGCTGCCTTTGAGAGGTGGCTAATGGGAAAACAATTCCGCGGACATAAAAGCTGGGAATATGGATGGGCCCTTTCAGCAGGCTTCTTGCTTTCTTCCCTGCTGATCAACCAGTCACAGTGCTGCCTGGCCCCCTTCTGTGAAAGAACCAGGGTGCACTTAGGAAGATTATCATTTAGCGAGGCTACTAAAACACACCCAGCAATTAGAGTTGCAGGCAGGAGGACACCTAGCTCTCAAATTGTATTTAGAGCATCTCTGTAGTGTGGATTGTTCTGTTTTAAAAATTACCCGCCAGTGACTTAGAAAGGTTCTTTGACAGAGTCTCAGTTGAAAACTGTTTCCCATTGTTCTCACTGTCCATTTTCTTGCTCTTCTGTAAGGATTATGTCTGTATTTTCCAGCCTTCCTTATGCAAGAAAATGTTGTTGACGATGATTCTGTACCATTTGGCTGAAGATCTTTTTTCAGTCTGGCTTTGGGTGGTCCTGAGTGCTTCTTCAGTGGAGTTTGTGCTGCAGGTAGCCAAGGCTGCCACGTGGCCCATAGTAGGGTTTCCCACCCTTGCTCTACCCAATGGGCAAGGCACAAACCACTGTGGTGGAGGCTAGGACACTCCAGGGCAGTGGGGCTCAAGGCTGAAACTTCATTCCCTCTGCCTCATTGTCCAGGACATCTTCGCTGAAGTCAATACACAGAGGCCGTAGGTAGAATTCCAGGCTGCCTTGCTGGCAGGCCTTGTAATTTACCAAGAAGATGCAATGTGGATCAGGTAACCACAGCACTGGGCATTCTGAAGGAGTGACTTTCAGAGTCGACAGCATGTGGGTTCAGATCTTAGCTCCTACATTTACTAGCTGTGTGACTCCAGGTAGCTGTTTTTAGCTTCCATGAGACTCCATTGCTTTGCCATAAAATGGAATGCTAGCATTGCTTTACTGGGCTAATGCAAGGATTATAGATTGATGGTTTTTCACACTGTCCTGCATTCCTTCCTTCCTCTGTGTTCCTTGCATGATGCTAACCTGCGGTAGAAACAGAGCAGATGTGGTCCATGTGCTCAACTACAACCTACTAGGAAGAGTAGAGAGAGGCCAAGGTGCTCTGTCCCCCACCCCCACAGAAACCACTGAGGACAGAGCAGTTGGTAGAATGCTACCTAGGAGAGGGAATGTCTGTGCAGAGATCTCAGGGATGAGTTGACTATGGTGACAGAGCACTCTATGTAGAGGTAAGAGAGAGGCAGTGAAAGCATTTGCTGGAGCAGAGCACAGCCAGAGGCTGGGAGCAAGGCAGCTCAGGGCAGGGTGCATGGGCTTGGTGGCCAGGAACTTGTGAACCTCTGAAGATGTCTGGATGGAGACAAGAAACAGTGGAGAGTTTTCAGTGGAGGATACATAGCATGTGAGCTTAGGGAAGTGCCTGCTCCATCTTCTGGTTTGATAGAGTGATCTCCATAGGTGGATTAAAGAGGAGGAAAGATGTATGGCTATATTAACACCTAGAACAAGAAATAATGATAGTATAGGGAACACTCACAGGAGCATGGTGACCTACTAGGCTACAGTGACTCAAGAGACTTACGGACCCCTTTCTCCATAGGGGAAAGTGAGAAAGGAAATGTCAGGGGAGAAGCATGTGCTTTTTAAGGGAGCTCTGTGGACTTCAAGAACATACAATGGTCTGGACATTCAGCTCATGGAGCATTCAGCCCACAGAGCAAACATGGTTTGTGAAGGATTCTCTGTGGGACCAAAACAGAGAATACTGGTGTGTGACAGTTTGTTCCGAAGCATTGACAGACTTCATCTTTTTTCCTTTGCTAAGTTTGGTCTTCTCTGTTAATGAGTTTCAGCAAGAAGATTAGAGCAGTTGTGCTCCTTTTCTGGCAAATCAGGGTAGGAGGGAGATGAGGGAACTTTGCAGAAAGCGCTCCATGTGCCAGGAGGAAGCAGAAAGGTCAGAGCAACCATGATCCTGAGGTTCTGAGGCCTCTTGACATGTCAAGGGGACAAGCCTTGGGGATATCATTTTCGAGCCTGGTATAGATATTAGAATATCTTTTTCACCTATTGCTAGGTTCATGGCTGAAACTCCTATAACAAAAGACAGATTAACAAGAGAAAATCTAACACATTTAATAGAAGTTTTTTTACTTGATACAGGAGCCTTAATAAGGAAATGAAGATCTGAAGCAGCAGGGAGAGCTGGGTGTTTTGATGCTTAGTTTTAATGAGAGTGGAAAGGCACATAGAGTGGGGTTGGGCCAAGGCAGTGTGAGCTAAGGGTAGTGAAAGGGAAAACTCAATGAGGCCTGTGTGCTCAGAACCTCCTGCATTCCCTGTGTCTTCAGGGGTGAGGACAGCCTTTCCCTCAGGTGTAGGAAGGACACTCTTACCTGCATCAGGCCAGGCCATGGTTCTTAGCAAGCATCAGGGGAGTAGGTTTCCAAGGTGAGAGTGGCCTTCCTGCTCCTGTTGGCATCACAGTTGCCAAGGCACCTAAATGTTTAGGAGCAGTGCATCCTGAACTCCTCTGTAGTTACAGCAGTTCTGCCTGGTGCAGAGAGCCGCAAACTTGGTGTGGGGATGGGATATCTCTCCAGGGTTGCTATACAAGAACTGGTAGTTGATTTAGGGTAGTGGCATAGGGTAGTAATGTAGAGGAGGCTTCTGGAAATTATGAGGAGGAAGAGGGAAAGGACTTCTGGATGGATTGGATTGGGGTGGTGAGATGAATGGAGAAACCAAATCTAGCATGCCCAGTGCAGTGTTTGGCCTATCATGGCCCTATTGCTTGTTGTTACTATGTTTATACCTGGTCTGTACTATGGTTGTAGGTCATCCAGGCAAGGATACAGGAGGAAGAGCCGTGTCCAAGAAACAATAAGTGTGTCATGAAATGGGAACTAGCTTCATTGCAATACAGACTTGTTTCCATCAGTGTACACTGGGTATCTGCTGTGCTCAGCTCCCTCATCAGTGCTGGAACAAATCACATTCCCAATTCAGGACTCTGTCCTCAGTACACCTCTCCTCCTTCTTTCCCCTGTCACTCCAGCGTGGAAATCACTGCTGAGGGACCATGATGGGGCCTGGTATAGCCTCCTGCCCACTTCTTACTCCTAAGTTTAACTGATTCTGGACTCACAGGATTGAGGCCCTGGGTCAGGAATGATATGTGCTGGGCATATGCCACACAAAAGGACAGTTCCCCGGGACTCCTGTTTCCCCTGTGAGGGTGGCCACAGAGCTACTGAGAGTCACAGAGGGCGACTCCAGCATCACAGGGGGTCATAGCCCTGAGGTCACATCTTTGGCTGGCATGAAGCTCTTATTTAGTCAAGTGTGAGGCAAAGAAAGCTAGGAAAGTCCTGAGTACTACTAAATGACATGCTCTGAAATTCTTAGGGCTTAATTTTTTAGGAAACGTTCTAGGAAATCCAGGAGGAAGTAAAGCAAAGCTTTCCCCTCGTGGGAGCTTCATTCAGGGAAGGCAGAACTTAGTAAAAAGCCTCCAAGTGGCCTGAGGTAGGCACTGCAGCCCCAGCTGGCCAGCTGCTGTTTTCGTGGCTGTCCTCTTCCCAGGTGTCTCCCTGACGGAGTCCATTGAGAGTACTGAATGCTCGAGAGTGTGGCTGGGAATTGATGGATTCAGCCAATACAGACTATACATCAGCCTGGCACTTTGATATAGACTCTCCCATGCCTGGGGCTTCCTGTGTACAGCTGGGTAAACTGACAGGCTCAGACAGGCTGCCTTCTCCTGGAGTCACTTACCGAGTCAGGGGAGGAGCCCACGCCTAGGCCTTAGGACTTCAGGGTGTCCTTAACAGCGCAGTCTTTGTAGGTACCCCTATATACCTACTGTGTAGTGGATTCTGGGAATTGAGAAAGAAGGTACAGGGTGGTCTGTGTCTGGAAAGAGGGACTATATGTACCTTGAACAAAGGCATGTGTCCCCCACCTCGATGTCCTTTCCTACCTGGCTTTGTGAACTTTCTGTGTGTGATCACACAAGCCAGTGGGTTGATAGGAAGACAGGGAAATGGAAGGCAGGGTTGGGTGAGTGTCACTGTTAACAGATGAACACATTGAGAGATACACTGTCTGCTTAGTGTGGTTGCTAGGAGGCACTGGAACCTTCACATCCAGGCCCTGTTGTCACCAAGTCCTAAAATATGCTTGAGCATCGAGGGACAGGTTCAGATAAGCAATGGGGGCATCCTGAGAGGAAGCAGGCGGGTGTGATTGGCAGGGCTAGGAAAGGAGGAGAGTTCCAGACCCTGACACAGTCCCCTTGATAGCTGTGATTATGCTGTTGGCTGTGAAAGACCAAATCTCTGAACAAGTGTGGGTCTGTATGACGCCCGGCACTTTAGACCATAGGGAGCAGAGTGGACCATACCTCCTACACCTTCTTTTGTGCTGGGCAGTGCCTAGGGCTAAGGAAACTAGATGTGCATCTGTCTGTGTCTAGATAGGTTTCCTGGAGGTAGGATTTCTGCAGCCACTTCCCCCTGCAGAAGGAAGGAGTGGCCTTCCCTCCTGCTTCCTGTCCACACTCCAGCTGTGAATGTGGGAACACTGCTGGATCGGGGCCAGAAGTTCCTGAGTGCCACCTGATTCACTCCATTTCTGTGCATGCCTGAAAGAAGCATCCTGATTTTCTTTTTAAAGGGAGGCTTTAAAAACTCCAGTGGTGCAAGGGTAGAAGAAAACGGACTCTCACTCAGTGATGCTGAGAGCTACCCTAATTGCTTTCACATCTCATAGACCCTCTAACTCAGTGATGGTGAGCCTTTTAAGGGACAAGTGTCCAACTGCAATCCAAAACCCAGTTATTTATTCCAAAGTGCCACCACTGTAATTAATCTTGAATACTGAATTCAAGTGAATGCTGGGAGGAGTTGCAGCCTGTGACGTCATTGCCTAGTGCCACTATTCTTTTCCGAGTTCGCCTATGGCCCTTACTACACTGTTAACTGATGCTTGGGTGCTGGGGCAATGCTGGGGTGACTTGTGTGCTGACCAAGAGGGCTCTGTCTAACCGTGGTGGCACGAATGCCATAGGTTTGCCATCTCTACCTTAACTCATCCCTGTTTTATAGATGAGGTCTCTAAGGCTCACAGAGACACTCCTGCTGGAGCTAGTAAAGGCTCAAGGCCAGGTGTGGAGGCGTTAGAAACTCACTATGTTGCCACCTTCCTACTTGGATCCTAAAAGCAAAGTGTAGAGCCAGCAGGAGGCGTGTGCTTTTAAATTTAATTTCCATTTTGCTGAGGACAGTAGCTGAGCTGGCTCCCCTAGTCCAAGGGAGCTCCTCCCCAGTACAGGACAATGGACAGGACAGAACTGGTTAGATATAGCAAGAACAGGTCATTTGCCCTGTCATTCCCTTCACAGGAGGAGCCCAGCATAGCCATCCCTCTTGCCATGCCTAGCAGGTATCATAAGATCTGGTCCTTCAGAACTAATTCATCAGAAATACAAACTCTCTGCCACTCCACTGGACCAGAACCCTAGAAAGGGGGATGCCCATCTGTCTCAGAGGCCTGCAGTAGGTGTGCCTGCCCTCAGGTGTGGGAACTACTATGGTTCTGGATCCTTTTCACTGTTTCTCCTCCACCCTAAGATGTGCCTTTTTTGAAGGACTTCCTGTCTCTCGGGCATTCTTTAATCTCATCTTCTTTGGCCACCTAATTTGTTTTCTCCAAGCTTGTGTCACAGTTTATGATTACAGAATTTGTGTCATTACCGTTTAGCTGAGTTTTCATGACTAGATCATAAGACCCATGATGCCAGGGCCATGTCTGTAAGGGATAGTGTATCTTCATCACCTGGCTTGGTACCTAGAACATGGCCTGAACTCACAGTATGTGCTGAATTCATAAATGAAGTAGAAGGAATTAGGGAGACTGGTGGGGAGGTCAAATTGAAATCCCTAGTAGGGGACAGAGAGATTCAGTGTGGTACCTGTCTCGGGAGAGGTTGAGTTTGCACCAGGCTCAGCTCAGCACTAACTCTTGGGCTCCTCTGTGGTGGCCTCTGGACTCCCCTACACTGCCCCATGGGCTGCTCTGAGATGCTGTTGGGGGCTCCCTCTATGTGTGCCCTGGAATCCTCAGTTTCTCCCTCGGTGCTCACTCTTTCTCAGGACTCACCTGTGGTGGAACAAGCCTCTTGGGCTTGAGTCTCTGATGAGCATAGACTACTGGCCCCAAACCAGCCCATCACACGTGGGCCCCTGTTCTTCTGTCAGTGAGTCAGCTGATGCCCATTAGCACTGCAGTTTTGGGGGGTTGAGGAGGGAAGAGGAGTGAGACAGGGTCTTGCTATGCAGCATTCAGCAAGTGCGTCTCCTGCCTGCCTGTAAAGAAAGCCCTGCCGCAGGTCTCCGTAGTGAGGATATATGGAATATGAGCAGAGAATGTTTTGTCATCTTACCAGGTACAGGTATAAGCTACACCTGCTCTAAACACCTGTGTCCTGCCATAAACATCTGGATTCTTTCTCCCCAGAAGGCTTTCGAGTCACGAAGGCAGGTCTCTGGAGGAATAAACCCATTCATACTGGTCCTGTGGTGGGTGGTGGTGGTGGTGGTGGTGAGCTGGCCAGGGAAAGAGAATTGCAAAGCTGTGCGAGGCCTGTGATTTAACAACATGATGTCCTCTTACCCATTCTTCTGTGTTGGAGGCAACACATATATTTGTTCCCGAGACTGGCATGTACTAATTTTCTTTGTAGCTTCACCCCAGCTTGAGGTCTTTTTTATGAGCTGGTGTATAAAGTAGGAAAAAGTGTGGGTTAGGCAGCTAAGGAATTTTGGAGATAACTTATCTATTCCCTCTAATTGTTTTTCTTCCTCTCTATTCTTCCTACATCGTTAGAAAAATAATGAAATGGAAAGAGAACAGTGAGAGATGAAGCTAGTGTCTGCATGTTTTGTCAAATGGTTCATCACTGTATTGTTAATATCTTGTTCAACAATCCCACCGAAAACCAGACTAAGCACTGGCAGAAGGCCTTATGCAGGATGACTTGTTGACACAGCCATGACGCCAGCACTCAGGGAACTCAAAATCAAGCTGGACAGGAAGGAAGGATTGCAGAGCTTTGCTTCAAGAAAGCCCCAAGGGGGAGGATGGGTCCAGCAGGCACCCCGTGGGGGAGGGATGAGTGGAAGTTCAGCCTGGCCAAGGGCTTTCTGCATGAGGAGCCATGATGTCTGAGCAGGAGCTGGCCACTGCCCACTCTGCTTTGCAGAGTGCTTGCCTGTGGCAAGATGAGGGCTGGGACTGCAGGGACAAGAGGTGGAATGCCTAGTTGGGAGCCGTGTCAGTGTTCTGGCTCCTGCCGTGGTCTTGGACAAAGAGGAGAGTGAAACAGGGAGGTGGGGAGTGGGCCTGCCTCACTTTTCACACCAACTGCGCGTTCTGGAGGGGGCCCCCCTAAGCACCCTTAAAGTTCAGTAATGTTCTAGAAGGGCTTATAGTACACACTGAAGGCTACTGTCACTATGGTTGGGATCCACTCCAGGGGAAGGATACAGATTAAAATTAGCTAAGGGAAGAAGTATGTGGGGCAGGGGTGACAGGTTGGGGTTGAGGTGACAGTGGGTTCTGGGTGCAGAGATGCTGGTCCTTTCCCTCCTGGAGTTCCTGGATGGTGCAGGCCTCTCCCAGCTGTGATGAACGTGTGACCACACTCATGGGATGTTTCTAACCCAAGTCTTAGTGCTTCATGTTCTTTTGGGGGCTCAATCACATATTGGTTTGTGGCTGAACTTAATCTTCAGTCCCTCCAGAGATCAGAACCAGCACCCACCATGTGGCCTGGTCCCTGTCATGAGTGATTGTATTAGCATGTCTGTGTCCAAAGCTCAGGCTTCCCTGTAGGGAAGCACATTCTGGGGAGTTAGAGGGCCCCTCCCAGGAGCCAAGGGCAAAGGTCAGACCTCTCTTGGGTGGTTAATTTTTCACCATACGTTTTATAGTTTGGTACAAGAGACAGAACACAAGGGTGATGATCCAGGCAATGAATAGGTAGAAAGGACAAAGGGTTTATACCTATTGGGTTAATTCTATAATAATTATATTCAGATATATAATTAGAGAGAGACTTTCCTGTTACTGCACCTGGGCCATCATTGAGACATCTGGAGTTGATTTTTCCCAGCATGCTATGTGCTAGGCAGGAGTACAGCTAGGCTGTCTTACTGAGAACATGTGTGTTCCTGCTTGCTGCAGCCTTGACCTGCTTTCTGCACTGCAGTCCTCACCCGCCGTGTGGAGGTGGTGTGTAGCAGCCTGTGGGGTTTGGTGAGAAGCAAATGCAGTCCTAAGTGAGGGTATTCTTTACTCCTGTAGCACAAAGCTCTTGATGAAGACACAGGAATATGTGTTGAAATGCAACTTCTGAAGGTGACTGTTAGCTGGGATGTCATTCCTGTGATGGTTTACAGTGAGCTGCCATAATACTTTTGGAAAAGTGCATCCTGAAATAATGCCTTTCTCCTCTCTCCTAGGTGAGGCTCCAGGTTGGGCTGTATGCTGTGTACCTTCTGGACTGGCTCACTGTGTTTAATAAGGAACAGTTTCTCATTCTGCGCCTGGAAGACCATGCATCTGATGTCAAGTACACCATGCACAGGGTCTTCCAATTCCTGAACCTGGGTATGTGTTATGCTTCAGATTGAGGGGACATAGTGTGAGCCCGTGGCTACTGGCTTTTTAGAAAGGTTCCAGGTCCAGTATAGACGTGGTGAGCTGGGTAGAGAGGGCCACACGGGAGGCCAGTTCAGTTCTTGTTTATTGAGTAACAGCTGCATATGGGTCATTGTGCACAAGTGGTGTGGTGAAGGACTCTGTAGGGCAAAGGAGATACCCTCCCCTCCAGAAGCTTGCAGTCTGGTAGAGGAAGAGAAGCAGTTGCAGTTCAGTGCATTGAGGAACTAGTAACCTGCAGTCTGTACTGAGAACCCCAGCAGTCCAAGGGTGATAGAGACTTTGTGAAAGAAAGCAAGTGGTTGAACTTTGAAGGCATGACCCTGTCACACTGGATGACTGGGACAGTGCTGTAGGAGACATGAGGTACGGAGGAAGGAACAGGCCACGGCATCATGGCAGGTGTTGCTGGGGGAATCTCTAGAGTCAGGGCTGCATGGCTGGGTTTTTGGCTGCTAGCCATGCTCTGGAGGAGAACAGCCTGTCCTTAGCCCTAGGGTACCAGTCAGGAGTTCTGAGGGACACTGGGTGAACTGGCCGTGGTGTTAGTTGGGGCAAGGCTGACAGAGGCATATGCAAAGGTGGGGGGTGCAGCCTGTGTGGATAGTCATTAAGGACATCTGGAAAGGCTGAGTCAAAACAAATTACGTTTCTTCCCAGGATACCTACCTCCTGTGACCCTCTGTAATGATCTTGCCTGGGAATCTTGTTAAGTGAATATTTCTTGAACTATACCTGCCTACCACTGGGACTCAGAACGCTTAGTCATTTTTTCCCCATTTTGTTTTGGAATGCTGTTAACGTGTTGAAATGTGGCATGGCAGCCACCCTGCTGGCTTATCCCAGGGCCTGTTGTCACTGATGCACATCCCATAGGTGGGTCTCTGGACGTAGGTGGCCTGTCCCCACTAGGGCCTCTTCACAGCAATACAGGTAAGCCTCAGGCACAGTGCCCTTTGCATTCAGAGCCTGAAGTGGAAATGACTGTGGCAGATTTCCAGCAGGCTCGTTAGCAGGAAAAACTAAGCCCCTGGACTATGTCTGGCAGGTCACACAGTTATTCAAGACAGGCAGAGAGCCATAGAAAGCAGCCCATTAAGGGCAACTGGAAATGAATCCCTGAGGTGAATCTTAGGTGAAAGTGGCATATCTTAAAATACCAGCCAGGCTCCCCTGAAGGTGGGTGCTAGACACAAGGCCACAAGATTTTTTTACAATTTCATAATGGTAGTTCCATTTTCTCCCTCATCTCCGTACCGATCTTGCCCAAGAATTTGAGTGCCCAAACATTTTCTTCTTAAAGGAATCTCCTCACTCAGCATGAAGCATAACTGGGAATTTTGCAAAAATCCTTTCAGCTGGGTACGATTCTTTCCTTTCCCTTCCAGGGCCCCTAAGTGAGAAGCAAGAGGCCTTGATGACCAAGAGCCCTGCATCCAATGTGAGGCGTCCTGAGGATCGGAACCTGGGGCCCATGTGGCCAGTCACGCAGAAGATTCTGCAGGACTTCTATGGGCCTTTCAATGCCAGGCTGGCACAGATTCTTGCTGATGAAGCGTTTGCATGGAAGACACCGTGAGAGCTGAGTGCTTTAGGCACTGGGCCCACCGACTCTGACATTGCCATGACCTAACAGTCTCTGTGGGTGGGGAACCGTTTTACTCACAGCGTGGAGAAAACCCTGGAGACTCCAGTCTTTTCCTCTCCAGGCACCTGTTAATTATCTCCATTTCAGAACTTCCTTTCTGATGTTCTATCGCTCAGAGACCCCTCACAGAGTTCTTCTACCTGAGGCTGTTGAAGTTGCACTTTGGCAGGAACTCAGCTCTGCTCCAAGAGCGCTTGGAGCTGCGGAGAGGAGGCCACAGGAGGTCACAGGCGAGCTTTGCCTGCCCACCTCCTGGAGTCCCAGCCTGGGGCTTGACAATTCCAGGATCCAGTGAAGCAGCTAGAAGTCATGGCCCAGGGGTTGCCAGAACTTAAACTTCACATGCACGTTTCAGTTCAAAGCGTTCTTTGTTACATCGCAGCCTCATGTGTGCAGAGAACCCAGCCTCTATAGAGAACGGAGGCTCTTTCCTTTTCATTTTTCACTCCAAAGTCAGCCTTTTAGTGACATTAAAAATAGCCCTTGTTTGGTCACTTCACTGCCTCCAAGGGAGAAGCATCAGTTTGGTTTTGGCAGTACATTGCTCTCTCTCTGACCTCCTCTCTCTCCCTCTTCATAGAATCTATTTATGTTTAACATAGAAAATGGATGCATTTAAAACAAAACTGCTTCCTGCATTTGACTAGCCTTAGCTCTCTTTTTTGCTTCTTTAGATGTTTTCTCAAGAAATTCAGTTTATATTTGGAGGGGAAATTTTTGCTGCCACTGCTAGAATAGAGCAACCTCAAAGAATTGAACACTGCACAGACGATCTTGGAAACCGAAGCCCTCATTGTGTGTCTAGGATCATCTGAGAACTGAGGGTGTTTAATTTTTTTACTCTGTGGGAGGAGTTTATTGTCCATGACTTCCACCAAGTATGGTCAGAATTTCTTACTCAAGGAACCTTGAGATATTTGTGCCCAGAATCAGAAACACAATGCACAAGCTAAACTTGGGCTGAATGTGGAATCCTGGGTTGTAGAATGCAATCCCTGAGAACCATGTTCTTAGTGGAATTTTCCAGACCTCTTGACAGTGTATGTAGTTTATGGTGGATGTGTTGAAGGCTTTTCGCTTTTTAGAAGTCGTGAGGAAGACTGGAGAGAATGCTTGAGCCCATTTGGCGGACAGCTCCAGCACAGGAGGACCATGAAGTTTTGCACTGAGTGCTGTCTAGAGAAGCTTCCTGTAAACTGACGTTCCCAGATCTGGTCTGCAGAAGTCAGAAGCTGCAAACACTAAATACTTAGCTGTCACTTACACGTGTGAGCGGGCTGTGGTGGTGGGAGGACCTGCAATTGCTCAGCTGTCTGAGCCTACTGCTGTCATCTAACTTCTACTTTGCCTGTGGAAGGTGCACACAGAGCTCTCAGCACTGGCGTGGCTGGGCCTGATTCTGCTACTGAAGGAGCCATGTTTCTTGAACACCCATGTGCAAGGGCATTCCTTGCCTTTCACTCGCAACCAACAATCAGAGCAGCAGCCAGCAGGAAAGTCTGGCCTGAGCACAAGGATGCTTTAGGGAGATATCACTTCAGTGTGTGTGTGTGTGTATTTATTTGGAAGAGCGTGTGCATGTGTGGGTGTGTTTTCTGAGTGGGTCCCCCTCCGTTCTATTGTTGATGAGGTTCCTCCACTCTGGACAGGATGCCTTTATAGATTAATTTCTCTGCCAATTAACTCGTCATTTCCAGTACACATTTCACTATTCCACACGGACCATGATTATGAGGGGTTTTCCTTATGCACTCCTATGCATGTGAATAACATGTAGGGTAATCTGCTTCTTACAGAAGTACTACTGGAGGTATTATTTCCAATATTATTTGGTTCATTACCGATCTTTTTTATATACACAGGCCCACCCCTTCTGCGCCACCCAGTGCCATCCGACCACCCGACATGGTTTTCTCTCTAGAGGCCACTCCAGAGGCCACATCCATTGCCTTTATTTTCTGTTGAGGCCCAGCTCTCCTTGATAGCACAGGTACCATTTTGGGTGGTGGCTCTCTAGCCTGCCACCCCAAACCAAAGCGAGATGGAGTGTTTCTCACAACCTGGTATTGAAGTTACTTTGTGTTCCCAAACGCTGTGTACGGACTGTATGAAACTGTACTCCCTTAGTCCTGTAAAGTATGTTATGTGAATCACTGTTATGCTGTAATTTTATTACTATTTAACATGATTAAAGAATGGACCCAAGTGACTGGTGCATGAGAGTGTGTGCCACCTCCATCCCAAGGACCTGTCAGTTTCTTCCACATCACGTCAGATGTGTGGAACCTGGTGGAGACCACTTGGTACCTCACACACACAAGCCAAGTATGTGTGGACACTTAGTGCAGAGGGCAGCCAGTGAGAGATGGTGTGATCCTGCCTACACTGGTGAAAGAAACTCAAGCACAGAGCTAAAGGTTGAGATGTTTTGGGGACTTCCTGCAAAGGTCCTGCTGAGGGTGTGAGTTGGGGTTGCAGTCTGGTTCAGCCACAGTGGGCCTCCATTGCTTGTAGATGTTAGAGTTTGCAGGTTAGGTGACCACACTCCTGTGGCTTGCACAACTTCCATGGGCTGAGAGTCTGAGACCCCTGGTGCATGTCATTATCACTGGACTTTGAACGTCCTACTGTGGCTCAGGGTGGGCAGAGTACCAACTACTGTGGTTGAGGTGACTTAGACAATAGACCTTTATTCTTTCAGTTCTGAGGCTGGAAGTCCAAGGCCAGGGTGCCAACAGGTTGGTTTCTCCATGACTGGCTGATCACCACCCTCTTGCTTCCTTTTCCTGTGGCCCTGTCTATGCATGTCTTTCTCTTCTCAGAAGGATGCTTATCAGATTGGACAAGGAACCACCCCAATAACCTCATATAATTTAATAATTTAATCACTTCTCAAAATCTTGTCTCCAAATATATTCATGTTCTAAAGTACTGGGGAGTGGAAAGGGAGACACAGTTCAGAGGTTGTCTCAGACATGGGGCTCTGGAAACCTGGACCATCCTGGTCTATAGCATGGACCCTAGTTAGTCCCCTGATTCTAGGAAGATGCCTCTGGGACAGCTCGTTTCCTGATGTTGTCTTCAACATATGCGTTGGGGTTGTTGGGGGATTGATGTTCAGTCTGGAAAAGAGACCCTATCCCTTCAGCACAGGCCAGAAACAGCTTTGCTCAGAGGAGGCGGGGAAGGGGGAAGGTAGAGGCTGGGAGCAGGACAGGAGGGGCAGGGCTCTGAGAACCACCTTTCCCTAGACCCCTTCCCAGCACCCTCTGCCACGTGGCCACCCATTCCCCTCAGGAACCAGCTCAGGAAAGATTCTGGTGAGGCTTATGCACCTCCTCCAAATACTCCTGCCTGGCTCTGGGAGCAAACATCACAGTCCTCATCAAGGAGAAGTGAAGTGTCATGCAGGTTGGTGACTCCGCATTCCTGTGGCCCCTTAACCTACAGGTGGAGACTAACAGGAAAATGATTAATTTTTTTATTTGAGTTTTCCTAAAACTTTAGGGCCCTGAGAGCACTGGAGCAAATAGGGTGTCCACTGAGGGTGGCAGGGGCTGTGTCAGGGGAAAAGCCGGGACCTGGGTCTGGGTGAGTTCCTCATGACTGGTGTAACAAACAATTCCAGGCACAGTAACTTGAAACAACACACATTTCTTACCTTATGGTTCTGGAGGTCAGAAGTACCAGATTCATCTTACTGGGCCAGAGTGAAGTGAACGGGCCTGTGATCCTTTCCCAGAGCTTTGGGGACCATCTGTCCTGGCTGTTCCAAGCTTCTAGGGGCCACCACATGCCTTTGCTTCTTGTTTGTTCCTCCTCCTTTCTTGCATAGCATCTTCAGCCAAGACAGAGCTGTTCCTTCTCTGGTAGAAGTGATTTTTGATTGCTCATGGTTTTGCTTCTTTCTCTGAAGTTGTATTGTCAGCTCCCCAGCAGGCATCGCTGTAGCCATAAGGCCATTTGCAGTTTCTCAAGTCCAGCTGTCGTTGAGCTTGTTATGCTTCAGAGAGAGAAGCTTGCGAAAGACACAAAACTAGAATATTTTCTGGTCTCCAAGAGAGCTTCAAAGCCCTTGACCTTTGTGGCTTTGTGACCCCCATGGCCCAGCCTCATGCTTTGTGCAAGGCTAATATGTAACCTCACTGGCATTCCTGGTGGCCTCAGGCTGGCCTTGCCTCCATGAGCTCTGCCCCATTCCAGCAGTCTGGACCCCAGTCCTGATCCTCCCACCCTAGCCTACTCTCCTACTCCCCCCGCCCCAATCCCTTTCTTCATAAACCAATTGTTGGCAGGAAGTCAGTGGATCCCTTGGGCTGTCAGTTACTGTCCATGGGGATCCTGAATGCTAAGATGAGGATGGAGACAGTGGACTATCAGGCAACTGCTGCAGGTCAGGGATGTGGGCAGGGCAGAGCAGTTGTGGCTGTGGCAACCTGCAAGCAGGGGCGCCCAGGCCAGGCCTGCTGGTGGGTTTACTGCTTGGCCTGGAGCAAAGGAGGAGGGGGTAGTGGGGTGGGGATGGAGTGTCTATTTGCTGAATGGTAGGTGCTGACTGGTCTGGCTTGGTGTGTGGGGCAGAGAAGAATGTGAAAGGAGCCTTCTGCCCCACAGTGGAAAGCCCTCGCTCGCACAGCAGCCTTGGGGAGCTGGGCTGCCTTGGGGCTCCAAGTGGTTTTCTGGGGGTTCCCCCAGCTCTTTGCTCTCTGAAATGCCCTTTGAGGGTCAGGCCCCAGTCAGATCTAGAAGTGGACAGACCTCAGTTGAAGCTGAAACCCTGACTTCCCAGAGATGCATGACTTGCCCAAGATAGCACAGGAAGGTGACAGAAGGGATGACAGCTATGGCTTCTGGGGGTTCTGGGGGATCCTCACTCCTGGCAGAGCAGAAAAAGGCTGACTCCAGGGACATGAGATGGGGAAGTTTCAGCTGCTTCTCCCAGGCCTGCTCACCTCTTCGTCTTCAGCTTTTCTTCACCCAAAAGGACAGTCTGATTTTCTGCCACTGAGCCCTGAACCCTTCTACCCTCAAAGGACAAAGTGGGGTAGGGTGAGTTCTGGGTCTCAGATGAGCTAGCTTCAAGGCCTAGTGCCCTGGCAGAGGGCTGAGATAGCCATCCCACACCCTCGAAGGCACCACTGTACCTGATGCACTCCCAGGTCTGTCATGCTCATGAATCCATATCAGAGCTGACAGGCTGAGGATCAGAGAGGCTGTATATTTGTCTGAGGTCACAGCTTAGGTCCTCAGAAAGAAAGAGCAGACTGTGAATTCAGATATTCTTCTGTTAAACTTTGGAGTCAGCGCTTTTAACTGTGGTACACACTGTCCCCTTCCCTAGTGTGTGTCTGCGTTGCCTGCCTGCCTTCTGAGCATCAGAACTCCTCCTCTTGCCTTTAGCCAAACTTCAAATGCTCTCCATGAAGAGCAGTGGTTTCTGAGGTCCCCCAGTCTGGGGCTTTCTGTGGGGCTACCCATGCGGGGTTCTAGGTAGTGAGTAGAGTTTCCAAAGGAAGCAGAAAGTGTGACTCCTGAGACTCCAGCGGGCAGGTTTCCTTCCAGCCGGTGGACTAAGCCTCCCACATGGGCAGATTTCAGGGGACTGGTTGTGGCCAGGCATCCTCTGAGAGCTGAGTCACCACAACTGTGGGTTGCCCCACCTTCTGAGCTCCGCTTCAAAGACACCAAGGTACACACCCAAGTAGACATTATGAAAGAATCAACATTTCATTCTCCCAGCAAAATTTCTTTACATCTACTTTGCACAAGGCAGTGGGTCAGACACGGGGTGGGTGTGCCTGGTCACTTATTCACTCATTCACCAGTCCTTTCATCAGGTTTTTCAATGATATGTAAGTGTACCAAAGCCTCGTAGTGAATATATTCATTTGTATCACAAATATATACTAATACCAAATTTTTAGAGAATAAGTTTTTGGTAGAGAACCCACTATGCACTGGTTATTAGAGATACCCAGAAGAGCAGAGGCAATTCCCGCCCCACCCCTGATCCAAGTGTTCACTGCAGAGGGTAGACATTGATCAGAAATGGACAGACATTGATTGGTGTGGCACAGGGATGCAGTACCACAATCCTGATGAGACCACCCCACCTCCTTAGCCACTGTCACTTCCCTGTCTTTTCAGAGATCAAAACCAAGGAGAGGCTGGAACTGCGGGTCAGGTTTTCCCAGGCAGCATGGAAGCCAACCCTTGCACTCCACATCCCCTTCGGAGCCCAGATCAGCCAGGTAACCCCAGGGGACTGGACTCCTGCTCCAAGCCACCATATCTTTGCTTTGGATCATCTGGGCTGCAGGTACCCTCAGCCACCCTCAGAAGATCTCTTTCACACTTTTTAGTACTAGATAGTACATTCCTAGCCCTTTCTATCTCTTTATTTTGACATAGGGTCTCGCTGTGCTGCCCAGGTTGGCCTTGCCTTGCCCAGCTAGGGAGCTGGGATTAAAGGCAAGGGACACTTCACCCAAGCTATGCTTCACGTTCTTTCTGTGGCTCAGTGTGACCAAGGTTTTTATAGGAAAGGCCAGACAGAAATCTTATCAGGCTGTGGCCCCAAGAGGCAAAATAGAAGCTATTAGGTACTAACACATGAGAGAAAATAAACATTCTCAAAGTATTTACTGATGGATTTTAAAATACAATAATCCAGTACAGTTGTTTGGCAAGAGGTCTGCTTACAATAAGAAAGGGTTCCTACTATGGAAATCAGTATGGATATTCCTCAAAAAAGTAGGATTAGAAGTTTCATTTAATCCAGCTATTCCCCTTCTGGGTATTTTCCCAGAAAAATTGAAAATGTCATGCCACAACAATATATGTGCACCCATGTTTATAGCAGCACAATTTGTAATAGCTAAGTCTTGGAAACAACCAAAATGCCCACAAACCACAGAATGGATAAAAAAGATGTGGTATTTTTATACAGTGAAATATTACTCAGCTATAAAAAGGATAACCTTGAGACTTTTACAGGTAAATGGAGGCAACTTTATACCATACTCATAAGTGGAATAAATCAAATTCACATTTATAAATATCTTATTATCTCCCTAGTATAAAAAATAATAGAAAATAGAAATCTGAAAGACTAATAAGATCAAAAATATACCATAGATATTGTAATAATGAAAGGGAAAGAAAATGCTCAAAAAGACAGAACTACTGGGATAGAGAAAAGGAAA